GGAGGAACCCCCCCCCTCCAGCCACCACCACCACGAGGAGGAGGGCGACGAGTGACCTCTCGGACTGTCCTGCGCGGGCAGGGGGGTGTGCGAGGGAGAGGGACGGGGTTTTGGGGAGGGAGGGGTGGGGTGGTGGAGTCTTTGCTGTCTAATAGCTACCCTCACGCTTTGCTCTCCACGACACCCCCGGGGCTGGAGGAATGTTTTGAGGCACAGGCAGGGCTGAGGGGCGGACGTGGGAGCTGCAGGGCGAGAGGGGAGGGCTCGGGCTTTTCTGACGCAAAACTACTTGCACATAATAATAATAATATATTGAGAGGAGCTGGAACCCGGGCGAGGGGCTGAGAGCAGGAGCTGAGCTGGGCTCCCCAGGGGCTGGCTGCAAGCTCCTGACCTGCTCCGGAGTCCTTGATGAGTCCTCCTGGCATTTTCCCTTGGAGACAGCTTGTGCCTGAGGCGGAGGAAGAAGGGATGTGTCCTCTCCGCAGCCCCACGGGACGGACATCTCTCCCGGGGTGTGTGGCACCGGCGGTGTCTCTTCTTCCTCCTCTCTGCCCCGCCAGCCCGAGGACGCGTGGGCGCAGCACGGCCACGCTGTTCCTCCCGGCACCCGCTGGATCTTCATTCAAGCCCAGCCCCTTCATTTAGGGAGCTCCTGGGGAGGGTTTTGGCCCGGGATGTGGCACGTGAGGTTGCTGGGAAGCGTGGTGGGGAGAAGCCTTTCCTTCCTGGTCCTCAGGGCCACCACGAAGCTCCAGGCACTGGGGTTCCGTGGGTACCGCGGGGACAGGCCTAGGGCAGGCTGGTGCTGGGGGGAGCCAGCCCCCTCCCCCTCTCCCTGCTGCACTTTAATGGTGGTGGAGGGAGAAGGGGGACGAGTGCCAGGATGCCGCTGCGTCTTCCCAGGGGACGGCTCATGCAGGGCTGGGGAGGCTCGGAGTGGGGGGACGGCCCCGGACCCCTCCTGCTACCCCTTTCTCTCTGTTGTATAAAGCTGATTTCTTTGGCGCTGTCCTGACAAGAGCTTCCAGAGCTTGTAATCCATGCCTCCCCCTCCTTTTTACAAGGGTTTGGTGGTTTTGTTTCTGAAATAAATTAGTTGTGACTTCCATTTCTCAGCGCTGGTGGTGCCCGTCGGGTTTTGGGCGGCAGCGCTGACGGGGGAGAGGCCCCTGGCAGCGGGGAGAGCAGCGCGGGAGGTTCGGGGCAGGGCAGAATGACGGGTCCCTTTGAGCTTTCCTGCCACGTTCAGTCTGGGAGGAGGAGGAGGGCGAGATGCTGAAAGGAAAACCGACCCCAAACAGGGAGCATCTGGGCTGCGTGTGGACACGGGGAGGCTGCGCATCCGCTGCCGCCCAGGCGTGCTTGCGCAGGGCCCGCGTCGAGGGTTTGAGGGCTGCGGGGTCCCACTTGTGTGGGAAGTGCGTGGGGTCTCGGCGGGATGATACAACCCTTATCGGCTCCGTTGCCGCTAGGTGACACTCTTGATCCAGCCTGTTTTCCTGGCATCCAGATGTTCACGGCCTCCAGGAGTGCCTCTGGAGTGGAGGACGGCGAACCTGGACGTGGACATGGCGTGGGTGAGGAGGGGACCCCAGCGCCTCTTCCCAAGGGCGTTTGGATGAAGCGTTCCCCGGGCAGGGCTGATGCCGCGACACCCGGCCTGGCTGCGCCCTCCGAAACGACCCGACGGTGCTCCCTTGGCTGAGCCCAACCCTGGGGAAGGTCCGTCGGCCGCGGGAGAGGCAGGAGGCTGCACCACGCACGCGGCCAGCGCTTGCCTCGGAGTCCCAGGGCCTCTGGACCGGTTGGGAAAGCAGCTCTCGGGGTGGTGGAGCGGGAGGGGCGCCACGAAGGGGGGATTCTGGCAGGGGTGGAAGTGCCCAGTGCGTTAAGAGAATGCTGTTAGGCTGTGAAGTGCCCTGCCAAGGACAGGAGCGTTACCAGAGAGCCCGGAGGCAGGAAAAGGGGGAAAACCCGACGCTGTCACCCACCTCCAGCACTTCTGTTGGTGTGCAGTGGGAAGAGGAGCTGGATTTAGCAGTGGGACTCCTCTAGAGACTCCGGGAGTGCAGGGAGCTGGGAGCAGGATGTCTCCACCTTCCGACCCAACCTGGGCCGCAGCAGAGGCAGGCAGCGGGGGGCTGTTGTGTGTAGAGGAAAACAGAACTGTCACAGGTAGCCAGTGTCCCAAATCCCCCCTAAGGAGCATCCCAGCTAAAGGACGGAATGAGATCCAGGGAGCGGATTGCACTACTGGGACCGCCGCGTTAAGGCCTGGACTGCCCGGATGTCCTCCCTGAGGTCCCGGTTTGCTCCCTGGGGCTCAGCAGCCGTTTCTTTGGCCGTGCCGACGCCTGGGTGGCTGCGGACACCCCGGCTTTGCTTTCCCTGCCAGCGGCACTGGAGAGCAGCGCTGGCGGCAGCCACGACCCCAGCAACGCAGCACAACGGGGTCAGCAGAGCTGCCGGAGCAGAGGAGCGTTTCACAGGGACAACGGTAGGATTCGGGCCTCATTTTAAGGCTGGTTTTTTTTTTTAAAACACATTGTGCTTGGATCAATCCAGATCCACTTCTCCAGCAAAGACATCCAAAGCGAGCGTCGGGAACCTCCCACGCGCCTGGTTGGGGAGGACACGCGATCCGGCCTCCTTCTCCGGAGAGAAGCTTTGCACTGCGCCGCCGCTTCCTCGCGGAGCATCAGCCTGGATCCAGCTGGGAGAGGTCTGGGCTGCTGGGGAGGCCTCCGCGGCGTGGGTTTGCTTCCTTGTTCCCAACCCAGATGGGACAAGGAAGCGAGGGTTTCCTGGTACGAGCGCTTTTGCAAAGCGGCCTCCTGCTGCGATCAGAGCCGTGCGTGCGAGTGCTCTGCCCTGGACGCCTGCCAGGACGGAGTGACGCAGAGGTGGCCGGGCTGGGTTTGGCCAGGAGCATCCAAGGAGAGGGGCCTGGGGAAGCAGAGGGAGGGCAGACACGCAAGCTCCCTGGAAAGCTGGTCCCGACAGGAGTGATGGCAGCTGCTTCCCATTCGACAGCTTCCCGGTGGGATGGAGATGCTGGGGGGGAATGGGCTGTGTCCACACACGGGGGTGAGCCCGGCTTTGCGTCTCTCGTCCCTTGCTCAGAGGTGGTTTCCAGGCCTGAGTTTCCCATTCACCCACTAGGAAAAGCAGGACAAAGTTGTGGAAAAGGTGATTAGAAAAGTGGATCTTGGGAAAGAGACAGATTTTTGCTCCAGGGCCGGCGGTGGGGGGGGTGCAGCCGGTGTGGGGGTGCAGCGTGCTCTCGCCCACGCCTCTGCGGAAGCATCTTCCCGGGGGAAGCGTGTTAGCGCGAGCTTCGGTGGCGGCGCAGGGAGGAGAGGGCAGCGTCCGGCCCTGTGACTGCAGGGGTCGGTGCCAGGGGCACCACAGAGACAGACGCAGCTCTGGTTTGTGCTGGAGTCGGTGCTCTCGGCTCGGGTCTCCCCGTGACTGGAATCGCAGCCGTTTGCAGAAAATCCAACCTTTCGGCGGCCGGGTAATTAAATCAGTCCCTGCCAAGCACCCCGAGGTATCGGCCCTGCAGCGTCGGGTGGCAGCACGGGAAACTCAACAGCACGTAAAGATCCCAAAGCGTCTTCTGAAGCAGAAGGGATGACGCTGCCGGCAGATCCTCCGCCACGTTGCCGAAGGGCGAGTTGCCCTGGGTCCATGGGGGGTTGCCCCTGCGAAGCAGGGAGCGGGGCTGCACCGAGGCCGGCCCCACGAACCCCGGAGCGGTTATCCCAGCGTGGGTGCAGCCGTTTCCCATGGTGTCTCCTCGCACCCTCCATCCCTGGCTGCAGATGGCTGGAAAATCAGCAAGTCCTTCCCGTGCCTCCGGCCGCTTCCTGAGCAGGCGACGCCAGGCTGTTACGTGCAGGTTTTGTTCCTTTTTATTTGGCTTTGCAAAATTTTGCCTTTTGTGCCCTGGTAGGGGGGCCGGAGCCTGGCGCTCGGTGCTGCTGGCCTGGGGGTCGCTGCCCACCTCCCGGGTGAGCCTCCGGCGCTGGCAGAGGCCGACGGAGCGGAGGCAGAGCTCGGTGCTGGCTGTCTCTTTAAGGCAGAAAAGGGAACTCTCAGGCTGCCACTTTGCGGAGTTTCGGCCAGATCCCTGTTTTCATTAGCATTTAATATCATCTCCTCCTCTCCAGCCCCACCTCCTTCGAATCAGCATTTCTCCATCCTTTTCCACCTGCACACACACGCTCACCCGCACCTCTGGCCGGGGAGGGACACCTTCCCACCCTCCCGCATCTTCCTCCTCGGGAGCAGCTCAGCTGGGAGCATCCCTGTGCTCGCCTCGGGCTGCTCTGCCTCTCCCCACCGTCTCCAGCAGCAGCAGAGCTCGGGCACGGAGGGACAGAGCTCTGCAGGTACCCGAGCCCAGCGGGGGGGGCGAGGGCTGAGCGTCGGGAGGGGGCAGAGCATCCCCAGCATCCGGAGTATCCTAGGATCCAGAGCATCCCTGGCATCTGAAACATCCTGGGTCCACAGCATCCCCAGCACCCAGAGCATCCCCAGCATCCAGAGCATCCCCTGCATCTGAAGTATCCCAGGCTCCAGAGCATCCCAGTATCTAGAGCATCCCGAGCATCCCAGGGTCCAGATTATTCCCTGCTCCAGCACATGCAGAGCATCCCAGCATCCAGAGCAACCGTGGCATCTCGAGCATCCAGAGCATCCCAGCATCCCGAGCATCCCCAGCATCCAGCAGCAGCGTCCAGGGACATCCCAGCGCAGGATTTGCAGGGACAAGGAAATGCCTGGCTGTGAGTAACGGGGAGGGGATGCTTCCTACTGCTGATCGGCTCCTGGGAATGTCACTCTGCCCTGATTGCCAGTGAAGAGAGAGAGTGGGGGAAGAGAGGGAGAGGAGAAAGGAGGACGGGCACAGAGCAGGGAGAGAGACGGTACTTCTTCCCCTGGAGCCGGCTCCGGCCATGATCACCTAGTGCAGGTCACGGCTGGAGAAGGTCCCGCGGGCTCCTCATGGAGGGCGATCTGGGGGCCCCCAACGCCAGCGTGCTGGGG